TTTTAGGAATACAGGGTTGCGTTGTTCCAAGTATCCACTTAGTTTTTGTAGGTGATGGGTTTTGTTGTTTTTGTTTTTTTGAGTGAAATGCTGCATTTTTAACACTGATTTCAAGAGAAGCAGGCAGGCGATATTAAAATATTCTGGAAGACCGTCACAATTTTAGTTGTGAAGCTAGTCTGCCAGAATGTAAGTGCTGTAAGTTCAGCTTAATATTGTTCCTTTTTCAAGCAACAGAATCCAGTCTGGCCTTCCTTTCTTTCAAAAACACCGGACAATTAAAGAAATAAAAATCAAATCATTAAAAAGGATACTTGGGTTCTTAAATGACTTAAGAAAATTAAAATCTAGTGCTGCATTATAGTTCCCTTGGAAAAATGTCCATCATCTAACAGCAGGTACCAATTTTGATCTGGTTGAGCCACTCTTCTCTTATAGGAATCCTGTTCTGTCGCACTAGATTTGAGTTTATTTAATACAGATTCTAGAGTTCACTACCTTTGTCCAACCTTTTGGAGATGGATATCTGTTTTAGTTTATTTCTAAGATTGCTTTCAGGCTTTGCCGGCCCCATACATTTTGTTTATGACATTATTCTGCTTCCTGTCTTCTCTACCCTCGATAATTGGGAAAGAAAAATTGTTAATAGACTAAGATTGGATGCACTTCCTTTTTTCTTTTTAATGGAGTGGTTAAAAAAAAAAACAGGGCTAAACAGACTATCTTTTAAATAACCTGGTTAATGTTAATATTTTTCCTGCCACCTTCTCCTGCCACCTGCCCAGAGGGAGATTTCTTCCCCTGCCTTCCCTATGTCACGTTTGTTTTCAAACGTTTATTATCCAAGTGGAGAGCACCACCATGTGCGTGTGGTTTTAGTTCTGCACCAGTTACCAGAGATACTCCGCTCTCAGTCTGCTCAGTGATAGAGTGTAAGAGTAATCTTGACTCAAGCACTTCACATAAATGGAGTTAAATGAAACTCCGTAAATGAGACTTAAATGGAGTTAAATGAAACCCTGTTTGTGTTCAATTTAAAGTAGTCATAACAGAGAAGTTGTTTGCTGTTGGGCCTTTCTTTTTAATTCAGACAGCCCGTTTTGGAGGAGGAGCTGTTGACAGTAATTATAAAAGGGTGTCACTGGATATCTTGGTTGCATTGACAGTAATTATAAAAGGGTATCACTGGAGATCTTGGTTGCATTGGTGGCCTTCATAGTATCTGGAGTTACAAACCAAGAGAGGGTTTTTGTTTGTTTGTTTGTTTTTTAACTAGCCTGTAGAAAAGGGGATATTTTTTAAATATAAAATTCCCAGTAATTTTGTCAACTTGCCTAACTAGCAGGGGCCATTACCTCTTTATTAGTACCGTTAACTATTAAAACAGCGGTAGTTGGTAGTTTCATACAGGATTATACTGATTACATATATTTGCTTGAGGGAAATTAGGCAATTTTTGTCTCTTTATTAATCTAAAGCTATTCTTCAAAATGATAACTTGTGATACCACCCCTGGCGTTGCTGTTTCCACCATAGCTTCCCAAACAGAGGTGGAGAATCCAGTGGGGAGTAACTTGGCCTTGTGTACAAAACTTCCTACACGGATGAAAAGTACTGCAATAAAATGAATAATCTTCTATGATACTTTCTCTGAATGTCTTTAAAATAAAGATATTCTGTGCATTCCTTTTGGGTCTTTTAATAAAGACAGATAAAAGCAAGCTCTGAATCTTAGCAATATCTGCAAATAAAAAGTATACTGGGTTCTTGCCATGCATTTATGGCTGTGATATTCTGCTTTAACAGATTGTTTTCATTTACTCATACATAGTTATAAGTTGCTTTCAGGCTCACGGGAGATAAAAATGACTGTTAATTCCTGTGAGTGAGTAGATGTTCTCAGGAACCTTTAATTCCTTGCAAGGGTCTCTGTAAAGTGCGAGTGGTTTTCAGGGGTCATTAAACCTACAGATACCTTGTGGCTTGACCTACTGATGGAGGATGTGCAAGAGTGAGACTAATGCACTGGATTTGGATCAGCCTAAATTTGCATCAGAGACAGAAATAATCATATTTTTTTTTCTCATTCCTTTTCCATTTTTTGCAAACATCCAGGAAGATAAAAGATATATATTTTTTTTCTCTCCATGTATTAATTTGAGCAGGATCTGGGGGGCAGTTGTAGCCTTTTTAGGCCGTACCACCTTTAGGAAGGTCTTATGCATGAATACAGAGTAACTGTTTCAGGAATAAGTTGTGTGGGAGGCATGTTCTTCTAGCAGTAGCACACTGAATGCTGCTTGAAAGCTATTTTTTTTAGTTAAAACTGAGAAGGAGATACTCAGTCCACCTGTTATCCTTTCTGCTTAAGTTGTACTTAAATAGCAAGATACTGGCAGATGTAAGAACATCTGGAATCACTTACAAAACACTTATTTTCTAGCACTTGCTTTTGAAGAAAAACAGGGAATTTAAGCCAAGACTATTCAGAACCTTACTGAAAATAGTAATTTCAAGATAAATTGTTATGCTAATTCTGATGCTCAGGATAATACTTGAAAGCTCTGTTCAAGGGAGGAACTCCATACAATTATGTTCCTAAGAATTAGTTTCAGCTCATCCTTTGCAGTAGGTAACTGATTTTTTCCCAGACCTATTGCAGAATATTGGGTGCAGAACATTGGGAACAAAAGCCAAGATCTTCACACCTGAATGTGTGAATGCAGCCTGAATGCAGCCTCGGCTAAATTAGTTTGCAATTTGAGTGTGTAGATTTAAAGGTGCTGGCCAGGATTTCTCAAGTCAAAGCTGGGAGTAGAACCAAGTTCTGCATTTTCACACTAAACACTTCTTTTAATCCTTTTTGGATGCAACTGAATGAGATTTCAGTGACCGGTTAAATCCTCTTTCCCATGGCTCCCTGAAGACTTGGGGTTCATTCCCTTGGTTTTTTCCTTTTGCCTTGAATGAACTGTCCGTATTTCACTTGTACACTGTGATTTGACACATTCGTCCACAAAGATGAGTATTTGTACGTGTTTTTAAATTCACATTATTAATGTAGTGATTGGGGTGGCTGGGCGTCCCAAGCAGTCTTTGCAATCATCTGAAATGTGCCCAGAGCTGATGTGTCCTTGTCACATGGTGCAGGTGGGATTTGGGGTGTTTAACATGCAGTTTGTTCTGAACTTGGCACCAGGGATTAAGTGGCTGGTTTGGGTAGTTTTGGTAAAGAGGACAAGGACTAAATGGTCACCAAGAGCGTTGTCTGCAGCAAGGTTCATGTTACTGCAAAGTCAGTGACTGTTCACTCATCCTATGGAGTATTTAACAAGGCAGTTTCCAGTGCATCTCCGGCACTGGGAACACTTGGAAGCCTTTAAAATGCCAGCTGTGCCTAGGGAATATTATCCAAAAGCCCCATTTCACAGCGGGTGCTGCTCTCCCCGCAGAAAGCAGAGAGTGGTTTGGAGGTTTGGTGGAGCTGCTACCTAAATACAGCAATACCTGAACACGGAGGTGTCTGGAAAATGGTCTAGTTTGGAATCATCATGGGATTCCTGGTAAGCTCGAGGATAACAGACATGAAAGGTGATGGAGACGTGTGTGTTACTGCACAGTGCTTGAAGACTGGGATGCTGCCGATCAAAGCAAGCTCAGAGCTGGCCCTTTATCTGGTTTTGAGTTGGTTTCTCAGACCTTTCCATAGCAAACCAGGCCTTAGGAACTAGTTTATCCAGTTCCTGCCATTGTTATTCGTTCAATAGCACGGCAGTAACTGCTAAGTAGCTGCTAACTTCAAAGTTTGGGCTGCTTCTCAAGCATTCAAACAGTGCTTCCCATCTCCTGCAGGAATTCTTTGTGTAAAGAACAAGGAGGTAGTAGAAAACAAAGAAGGTGCTGGCAACAGTAGGACCACAAAAAATGAGAACAGTCCTATGTGGTAGCTACATTTTCTATTTCCTGCAGGTTCCTTCCAGTTCTCCCCACAAAGATACATGCCTGTCTTTCCAGCATGGTCCTCTGTCTTCCCTGAATCCATCTCCCTTTTCCTTCTCTATTTTATTAAAATGCCCAAGTATCTCAGAAGATTACTGTAAATGATAGCATTACAGTATAGGTTATATATGGTTAGCACTGAAAAACTGAGAAAGGCTGTTTGGGGAGTTTTTTTTCCCACTTTTGAGTGCATGTCTTTCACTTCTTGCATTCATAGACATGATAGTAGATAATCCCTTTGGCAGCTCTTCTGCATCTATGACTTTAAGCACCTAAATCATAACCAAAAAAAAAAAAATGAATTAATGACAAGAAATACTAAAGTGATGATCCCTGAGAGTTACAAGGAGAGTCATAGAAGTCACATTGTTCTAAGGACAGTCACGGAAGTCTAGGCTGTTTTTTGCAGCTTGTGTTATACTCGCTGGAAACGGCCTCTGAACCTTATTGGTACCTGTAGGCCCTTGGAAATCAAGTACTGTACTGTGTGTTCAGGCTCATGCAGTCAGGTATCTCCGTGTCACATGACCTTGCTAGATCCTTTCCAAACGCTTTCCTAGCTCTTGCCCTTCCTTAATCATCTGTGATCTGCTGCTCAGAGAGCTTAGCACCATCCTTCTCAACCCTGGAGTTACAGGACATGCTACACAGTATTTCATTCTTCTTTTTCATGCTCCCTTGGACTTTACCTTTGGCAGGTGGCCAAGAGAGCAATCTTTAGGAATAAAGGCCCCTATGGATGTTTCTTTGAAGCCACAACCAGGCACAGTGTGATCCAGTGCACGAAGCTCGTCCCACTCATCCCACCTTGCACTGCATGTGAATATTCACTCGTGGTTAATATCTTGCATAAGCAGAGATGCAAATATATCATGTCTCATACTGACATTTTTTCCCTTTTCTCTTTAGGTGGCATTTTAGATGAGGCAACAAGGAAAGACCTTTTTACGGACACTTTCTGTAAGCTCTGCGGGGCAGTGCTGCAGTTTGAATCCCAAAGGATGTCACATTATGAGGTAGGCTTCAAGGGAGGATCGCTGCTAGCAAGCACTGGGGCTTTTCTGCATGTTTTGGACATTTTTTGTGTTGAAAGAGACCATTCACATCTTTTAATAGTGATTTTCTCAAAGCTTAGACAGCATCCAAAAGTAAATGTTATGACAGTTGTGGGTTTGGTGGTGAAGGGTAGTCAGCACCACTGTATTGCAGCATGTTTATAGCCAAAATCAAACTCCTTCCAGCCATGATGTGACTGGAGCAGATTGGCACCATTTTACCCAGAAGATAGGGATGGCACGAGGCAATGTTTAATATGACAGACTGAGGTCCTGCCTTCACACTTAGGGATGCTGCTCTCTGTGGCTGCCTTAGGCAGGCTGAATCATGCCAGAGGCATTTCTTGGGGCAAACGTGTTGCCTTGGGATGTTGCCACAGGCATGGGACGGCATGTTTTATTTTGAAACTTGGTCTTGAGCATGTATACATTTGTGGACATAAATATTTTCTTCTTTCTCTCTCTTCAGGTCAAAATTAAAGTTAAAAATATCAGTTGTATTAACTAGAACTTGAGTCTTGCAAGGTATCATTTCCTTACTTCCATTTAACTCAGGGAGGAGTTGTACTCTTAGCACTGCAGAGTTCAGGTCCTCACTTTGAATTTCTATTTCTTGTATCTGAATCCAGTGGAGGATAACAGGTACCAGTGTAAAGTTACCCAGTTTCACCATTGCAGGAAGATTTGATAGGGGAACAACTGGGTCTTTCTACCCAGTCATGTTTGTGTTGGCCAGCCAGGTGTGACAGGACCTTGTTCTCTTTGGTAATACGGCTCTATATCCTGGACTACACCTCAGAATCAGTGACAAATACTTGGAAAGCATCAGGTCAGAGAAGACAAGTTACTTGTTTTGCTTGGACGGATGGATGAGGGTTGAGGGCTGCCTGAGGCAAAAATTTAAGGTTAAAGCTAAGTATTATATAATTGACTAAAAAATAGATTTCCTACATGAACTGACTTTTATCTGCTTGTAGCTCTATACATTACAATCAGCAAGCACTGAAAGCAGCTTTTGACAAACAAACTCCCAATTATTGGATATACCAATGCATGAGTCCTCGTTAATGAAACAGGGATAATTGTAGTTTCTTTCCAGGGCAAAAAGCACGCTCAGAAGGTTCGACTTTACATCCAAATGCACAGCGAGAAAGAAGAGAGGAAGGAGCATGGAAAACAGAAGAGAGTGGATTGTGTCAATTTTCAGGTGACTCCTCCTATTCAGATCTCTCACTAAAATGTTTCCTTGTAGTTCAGGCAATGTCTGTACCTGAGCTTGCCTTTTGCTGATTTCAGGCGGATGACAGTGGAGCAGTGGACAGAAACAAGTACTGCAATCTCTGCAACATGATTTTTACTTCCCCCATTGTTGCTTTGTCTCACTACTTGGGAAAGATCCATGCTAAAAAGCTGAAGCAATTATCAGGAGACCAAGCCCAGATGTCAGCTCAGCAAACGCAGCCTGTCTCCGGTGAGAACTAAGTAATTAGGTCCTACAAGTGCTTGTGTTTGCCTGTCACTCTCTCAAACAAATATAGTGATGTGAATCTTCCAACACCTGTTGTGTCTCTGTGCTTTCCTGTGCTGCTAAAACTATGGAGTTCCCACCCGAGAGCTCATTAGGAGGATCAAAAAAGACATTGCTCTGTGCAGCTCTCCAACAAAGGATCCTGGCTTTACGATTTCCTGTTTTTCACTGACTGAAACCGAAGGCAAAAATCTAAAAAAAAAAAGTAATAATAATGAGTGATATCTGTTGCTATTCTGAGAATTTCGTTGCAACCTAAAGCAGATATTCTCTTTGATAAATTAATATCTTAAGTTAAAAAACAATCCGTCCATGAGCAACCTTTGAATTGTCCCTTATTTTGTTCCAGGAAATTGTTCTAGCCTTTATTTTGTTGCACTGTCAGCAGGTTTATCCTCCACTTCCACGTCTCCAGCTGTAGAGAAGCCCTCAGCGGAGGAGGCCTCGCCGACTTCGAAAGCTGAAGAGTCGTCTTCATCCTCCAACAAAAGTTCAGAGTTGAATGATCCAGAGAGGTACTGCAAGCTCTGCTGTGCCCCCTTCAATAACCCACTGGTGGCCCATCAGCACTATGTGGGTAAGAAACACAGGAGAAATGAAGCACGTAAAAAGGTCATGGAGGAGGTGGAGGACAAAGCGGCCCCTGCAGAATCCAGCACAAATGGTGAGTAGAACAGGAGGAAGTATTAGACTTCTGAGTGTTGCTTGAATGTTCAGCTCTCATTTGTGCAATAAAATGCTCTAATTTGTGCAAGGAAATGACGGGCTTCTCCATCTCTGACAGCTTTAGGCTTGAAAATATTTCCAATTGACCTGGAAACCCCGGTGCAGTCCTCACTGAGTTCTGCAGTCAAATTCAAATGGTCGTAAGAAGTAGCTCTGTTGTGGTGGAAACTCCACAGCTTCCACAAGCAACATGTGCCAGGACTTCTCAATCTTAAAACCCTCTTTTGACTTTTAATCTAATTCTCCCTAACCACAGTGTCTCTTCACCGTGCACAGAGCAAGAAGGAGAGACAGGGAAGGGAGCTTTCCTTCCCCTTCCCTTTTCTCTTCCCTTTCCTCTTCCCCTTCCCCTTCCTCTTCCCCTTCCCTTTCCCTTTCCCCTTCCCTTTCCCTTTCCCTTTCCCTTTCCCTTTCCCTTTCCCTTTCCCTTTCCCTTTCCCTTTCCCTTTCCCTTTCCCTTTCCTTTCCCTTTTTGTTTGTTTGTTTGTTTGTTTTTGTTAGTTTGTTGGTTTGTTTGTTTTTTTCCTTTCCACATTTTTTAAATAATTGAAAACTGGTATCATGCCTTACCTTAATCGTCTGGTCCTGTGTGACAGAGCTGTTGATCCTTTCTCTAATAGGGAACTCAAAATCCTGGTTGATAATCAAAAGCCGTTGTTAGTGTAGGCCAGTTGTCCCTAAGTAAATCCTGCTGTAACTTAAACAAATGAATGCATTTTGTTACAAAGCAATAGCCCGTTGGAAATAATGCTGCATTTTACTGATGGATGAAGCTCTTGGGTTTGTGTGTGTGGAGGGGAAAATCTACTCACTGGATTTCATTTATTTAGCTTTATGGATGGCACAGCTTGTAGGGGGAAATGACACAATTTCTCCTATCTACATTTGCCTGAGGCTCTGCTGTATTCGTAGTGCACTGCACTGACAGTTCCCCCAGCATCTCCTGTAAAGGGTTAAAGTAACACTGTGTTTGAGCAGGTAATGTTTAAACTGCTCTTATTTGAATTAAATCCAGATTGTCCAGATTCACGTCTGCAAGTGCTTGCTCTGAGTCGGGTATTTACAATAGCATTTAATTTGTAAGTGTAGTTCCCTTTCATCAGAACAGTGTCTGAGAAATATTTTGGATGATTTCAGTCATGAAAAGTACTCACAAATATTCTCTTTGTTATTGTGGTTATGCTGCAGCTCACAAGCTGCCATCATAAGTAATATGATATTCTTGTGTAAAATGGAAATACATTGCAGCAGAGAACTTAGATCTGTCCCTAAAAGCTGACATTATGACACAATGACTCTTGCATGGGGAGGGAATGTGATGTGCTGTGAGTTTTGCCTTTTTATTAGAAGTCTCTCTGACCTACAACTTCTTTTCAGCAGGTGGGATTGGTCAGTACATATGTCCTATATGTAACATCACACTTAGTTCTCTAGAAATGTACCAGTCCCACATGCAAGGAAATAAGCACCAGACTAAGTAAGTGTTTTTGTAATTGTTCATCTTTTGCTTGTGCTTTTGAGTTTCTGTGAAAGAACTTGCCTTCTGTCCCAGCCCTGCTCCTTGCTGTGAAGTGGCTTTGACTAGTTATTGACTAGTTATTGGGTATATTTTGTGCTGGCTTTAAGGGCTCTGTCCACTTAAACATTATGTTTTTGGCTGAAATCCGGTCTTGGAGGTCTCACAATGACATCTTCAACAACAGTCCACAGGAAAGGTCCTAACACCTGTACAGTTTTTGCAGTTTATTATTCTGTCTGGGGATAGCAGCATCTATTCTTGGCAATGCCAGTGCTCAGGCCAGGAGGAGATGGTCTGTGCTGCCTGCATTCCTGTTGGCACAGGATATTAGGCAATGTGAATGTAACTGCAGCAGTGTGACTGGCATGTTACTGATATGATTTTAAAAGTTTGCTTCATCGATGAAGTTGGAGTCCCCAAAACACAGAAGTGTGAGGAAATGCTACCGGGGTATTTATATTTTAACAAAATGAATATATAAAGCTGATGAATGAAGACAGCACAAGCTGCATTACAGGAATGGGTCTTTGGAGCTGTTCTCCTTAGTGAGGATATGTTTATCATCTAACCTCTTATCCTCCAGCCTGAGGAAATGCAGAGTCAAATATGAACGTGTTAGAGCTGCCTTGGGCCCTGCCTCTCCTGCCTCCTGGCAATCCAGATATTTGACTTCTGCTTTGTCTTGTTTCTGCTGTGAAGTCAATCTGTTTGCCTGAAATAATCTGTAATGCAACTGTTAGTAGAATGAACTTCCTACACAAATGTTTCTGGACTGTCAGTTTGTAATGTAGTTGTTTAATATCTGCAGCTAATAAGAGATTAGTTAATGAGAGAGGATGTTAGATTTTCTGATTCTTTTTTAAAAAAACAGTTTTAAAAATGCATGCAGTCATTTTAAAAGTATCTTTTACCCTCATAGTGTCCCAGGTCACAAAAAAACTCCTTTGGTCTTCATTAAATTACTCCAGATTTTCGGTTTCATATGGGATAGAGCCTGTCCCCGCCAACTTCATCTGATTTTAAGATTATGATTGTATATAGCAGGGTACATGTGGCTACACAGAGCAACACACTTGAAATATGTTCTTCTGTGAAACTGTAGAAATAAAATTTGCGTATTGTGGTATATGTCTTTCTACTTTCCTGATGTTTTCAAATCATCAGGCCCTAAGCAAATAGTATTAATAGTTAAGACTTTCTATCCATTTCATTTTTTTTTTTTTTGCAGAGAAACAACAGCTCTCAATCTCATGAAGAACTCGAGGAAAACTTATGACTCCTTTCAAGATGAACTAACAGATTACATTGAAGTACAGAAAGCTAGAGATGTGGAGTCAAAAACGCTTTCCAGAATGACAGAAGGGGAAGTGTTTCAGGATAAAGATGTTAAAGGAAGAAGTGACCCTGGTGAGATTTTACTATGTGAACAAGCCCAGCATTCCAGCCTCTGCTCAGAAACACAGTCACCTACAAATACTGGGGAAAACCCGACAGCTTGTGAGAATACACCGGAAAACATGCCTGATTGTCACTATAACGTGGAATATTGTGTAGACAAAAAGGCCTCTGAGGTGGCCACCATCAGAGAGGAGGGCTTTGGCCTATCAGCTGCCAAATCTAATGACTGCCACGAACTTCTGTCTGCTGAAACTGCTCTCAGCACCTGCAGAAAAGAACAAAAACCTCTGGAAAAACATGTTGAGGAGGAGAAATACGTCAGTGTAGAACTGAAGCATGAGAAAAAAGGCGCAAAGCAGAAAAGAAAGGAAAATAGTGAAGATGAAGATTCTGGAAAGGAAAGTGAGCAGCCAAAGCGAGTAAAAGTGGATGTAGACTTGATAAATGAGAAGAAATCGAAATCTTACAAAGGCAAAAGGCTTGGAGCAAAGCGTGCTGCAAGAGAGAGCAAAAGGCACAAAAAAGATAAAAAGGATAAAAAGAAGCCACAGACAGAAGGCAAAACAGAAGAGGAGCTGCTATGGGATGAATCTATCCTGGGATACTGATGCAGCTATTGTTTAGTTTTAAGAACCTGATCCTCTCTCTAGACTCTCTTAATCGCTGTGTACTATACAATGACTTTTTTAAACAAAATTTTTGTTCCAACCTGGAAGCAAGAAAAATCCTGTCTCCTGAGTCTTTGGGGTAGTAGGTATGCATCCATTTTTAATTATCTTACACTTGCAGCAGTCATTGCAGTAATGTAAGCTTGACAGTCTGTAATCTCATCTGGAATATACTCCAAAAAAAGGGTCAGTAGCCTACAGAATTCCTTTGGAATTTCACCAAATATACAGCTTCTTTCTGTTAATCATAGTGCCTGCTATGAAGGTTTCTGTCATAGAATCATAGAATGCTTAAGGTTGGAAGGGACCTCTAGAGATCATCTAGCCCAACCCCCTGCACACGCAGGGTCACCTAGAGCACGTGGCACAGGACTGCGTCCAAGCGGGTTTTGA